AAGAAGAAGAAGAAGAAGAAGAAGAAGAAGAAGAAGAAGAAGAAGAAGAAGAAGAAGAAGAAGAAGAAGAAGAAGAAGAAGAAGAAGAAGAAGAGGAGGAAGAGGAAGAGGAAGAGGAAGGAGGAGGAGGAACAAGAACAAGAAGAACAAATAAAAGAACAAGAATAAGAAAGAAGAACAAACACAAGAACAAGTACACATAGACATTTAAAGAAAAAATAGCATGAGAAATGATACAAGACTTCACTAGACAAAGTAATAGAAATTGAACATTGGCTGCTGTGTTACATGATGTTACCTTCAAATTAGTTCTTCATATTACCAGATATAAATGTGTAAGATATCTTTTTTAAAAAATAACAGAGAAGTTATATTAAATTCCAAAGAACAAAAAATCAGAGTAGAAAAAATTAATCATTAACTGCTGCTTTCAAGAGATCAGTAGAAATTCAAAATAGTCATCCAAAACATTTTGCATATATATCCCTCAACCCAGTTTATCCTTTCCATTGAAAAATTTATTTCACTTTCAATCTATTGAATGCTTTCATTGTATCCAACAAATTGCAATAAGTTGTGCTTCAATTTTCATTAACTTGTAAATAATGTTTAATTTCTTTGTAATGCATTGGTTGCTGAGCAGGATGTTATTTGATTTCCATGTGTTTTGGGGAATTTTGGTGATTTTTTTGTGATTTCTTTGGTCATTCATTTCCAGTTTCATTAATTCACTCCTGACTCAGACTGCTGTATAAAAATGTACCTTGTCTACAAATCTAAAACAAGAATTATTTGTGCTTAAATTTTCTCAGGCCAAATCATTAGAAAAGCACCTGTTTCCTGATTTCTTAGTGGCAAACATGTCAATCTGCCCTTACATGGGAAAACAATCACACAGGTTAGTTCTGCCTAACTTTTGAGGATGCTAAACTCCATCAAGAGAAATACACATAAATGATGTTATTTTACAATACAACCCTAAAAGTCAAACTTCTAGTGGCATTTTACATTTCAATATAGAGTCTTAAGTTATGAATATGGGGTTAGGTCACAAGCATTGAATTCGTAAGATGGTATTAGAACAGGTTCAACTATAATCACTTATCCTTTTTTTCTGAGGAAACCTATGATATCTGTGCAGGCTTGTGCCTGACAACTACCAGAATTTCCTAGCCTTCATTTTTGCCATTGAAGAGATCAACAGGAATCCTCACCTTCTACCCAACATAACTCTGGGGTATGAATTCCACCAAATACATTACAGACACTGGAGGATGCTGGAGAGTATGTTCAAACTGCACACAGGACAAGCTGAGGTCCCTAACTATACTTGTAGGAGAGAAAGCAAGTCTGTAGCAGTCCTGATAGGAACAAACTGGGCAAATGCTGGAAAAAGTGCAGCACTGCTGGAGCTCTACAAGTTTCCACAGGTGAGGGGGAGTGTGTGATGGGGAGAGTCATGTCCTCTTTGGTCCTGATGGTGAGGGAGAATAGCATTATGCATCACTGAACTCTGAAAGGTTTCATATCTCAATCTGTGAGAAACACGGATTGGAGAATTAATAATTCTTCTATGTCTGCAGCAGACAGAAGAGACAGAGTGAAGGAAAAAAATTTTCTTCAGCTGACTTGTAAGCCAGTCATAGTCAAAGATATGGCACTTCTGAAATGAGATATGCAGGTGGGATAAGACAGTGTTTCCTTTTGCTATTATCAGCTGTTGCTTAACACTATTCAAGTCAAAGTTCATGCTCCATGTCAACCCTCTTTACCTCACTTCAAATTTGCTCTTTTCTTCTAGTTCAGCTTTGGTTCCTTTGATCCCACATTCGGTGACAGAGGCCAGTTTCCTTTTCTGTATCAAGTGGCCCCCAAGGAAACGTCTCTGGTCACTGGCATGGTCTCCTTGATGCTTCACTTCAGCTGGACCTGGGTAGGACTGGTCATCACAGAAGGTCAGAAAGGCACTCAGTTTCTCTCAGATGTCAGAGCAGAAATGGACAAGAATGGAGTCTGTGTGGCATTTGTGAAAATGATCTCAAATTTCCTTGCAATGTCTGCAATGGCTCTACAGAAACTAGATTTCCTGTCCAGGGAAACACCACCAATAACTGCAGTTGTCCTTTACTATGACACAGAAAGTCTAAATGACATAAACTATCAAATAGGGCAGTACTTGGTGATATGGAGAGTCTGGGTCACAAACTCACAATGGCATGCTGACACATCTGGGAGAAATTTCATACTTGACTCATTCCATGGGACTCTCATTTTTTCAAACCACCGTGAGGACATTCCAGAATTTAAAACTTTCATTCACAGAGCTAACCCCACCAAATACCCAGAGGACATGTTTCTCACTCTATATTGGTTCCAGAATTTTCATTGCTCAGTATCTGATTCTGATTGTGCATTGAAGAACTGCCTGCCTAATGCTTCCCTAGCATGGCTGCCTGTGAATCATTTTGACATGGCCATGAGTGATGCAAGTTACAACGTATACAATGCTGTGTATGCTGTGGCCCATGCCCTGCATGAGCTGCTCCTTCAGCAAGTTGGAGCAAAACCAATCAGAAATGGAGACACAATGCTGTTTTCTGCCTGGCAGGTAGAGTCTATTGCACTAGATGCGATAGCCTCTTAGCAAGATGTATACTGAACCCCCACTGGCTGCTCTGAAAAGCCATCTTTGCATTGTTCCCGGACCGTCTCCCTGCTCGCTGCAGCCACCTCCGCCGCGCGCCTCCGCCGCGGTCTCCAGCAGCTGTCTCACCAGAGTCCTCGAACTCTAGCTTTCTTTTTACCTGCTGCACCGAACCACCAGCGTGCCCCACCATGTCAGACGCTGCCGTGGACACCAG